TCTATAATCATCTCCATAATTGAGGAGAGGAATTATTCAAAGCAGAGGGATTTGGTGTCGTTTTTTCATGCAGCTCCATGCTGGTAATAGCAGTTCTTGACTTTCCCCATTGATTCTGGAATGTGGTTTGCCCCCAGGATACACAAAACACCCTACCCCCATGGTTTTACAGAACCTCCTCTGGGCCAGGCTCTAGGATATCAAGGGGTCAATACATGAATGGGGAGATGGACATGCAGCCCAGGTGAGTCAACAGTGCAGACCTGAGGACCTTAGGGCTCTCTGCAGGCCTAAGGGGTCAGACGCAGGCTGTCCTCTGCTCCTCAGTAGGTTCCTCTCTTTGCTGGGCAGACATGGCTAAAGGAATCTCCATGGGTCCAGGAAGCTGCCTCATGTTCATCAGGGGCCTCTGGGTTAGACTGATGTTATTGCCACATGTTTCCACATGGAATTCCTGAGCTCTTCACACAGATTGGAAGAGACCTTCATCATATAATATCAAACTGTGAGTCTTTACTGAATGAAGGACAGTTTGTGAAATGCAGACATTTAAATTCTATCACCTTGGAAGTGTGAAACAAACACTTCTTCATATTTTAATCTTCCTAGAGCCACCAGGAAACCAACCAACCAATCAACCACAACAAACAATAGCCTTCTCTTGTTTCTGAAAGAGCTTGCTAAGTGATCATCTCTCTTTGTTTAGAAACTTAGGAGGCACCTAGGCACCTTGGGGTAGACGTGTTTTACGTTCTTCTCCTTGGTGCTTGTGTCTAAGGCTACAGCTATCACAAAGGCAAACCTAGTCTCTAGTAAGGACCATGGCATCCGTAAAAAGCTGAAATGGCAGGCCTGTGCGTAGTTATGTCTGGCTATCACCATGGAAGTCCTGTGAGGAACTGCTGGAAATGAAAACTGAGCCGGGAGAATGTGGGGAGAAGTGGTTAGCTTGTATTGCCTGGATCTGGCTTGAGAACAGAGAAACGCCTGCCCTTTAATGGCCATTCCACCAGGCTGTCGTGTTCTTGCTGTCTTGGCCAGTGGTCATCTCGCTGCTATGATTTCTCCTCTACATGGCCACTCTGGCAACCTTGGGTCTTTGATCCCTCTCCAAGTTTTGCAAGCTGCCTAAATCCACCATTACAAAACCATTTATACACTTTGCCTTATATCTGCAAATAAAAATATGCCTGACAGAAGAAGCAGGATGGTAAACGACCCGGTCCTCTCAGTGTGACCAGAGTGGGAATAAATAAAACCCTAAAAGTTTGCACATTGACAGAGTTACAGCTGGAATAAATACTGTGCAGCAGAGGCAGCCCCAGGTTACCCCATTATTAATGCTTCCCTAGGAGAGAAAGGCTACCTACTTCCATATTGCTTTTGGCGATGCCAAGGGGGGAAGTTGAGAAAAAAAAAATCACGTCCAAGTTTCCTTAAAGGACAGATTGCTAAGTGGCCATCTGAAATATGAAAGTTTCTACTGAAATTTTCCTTTTCTTCCAACATATGTTGGTGGGAGCTGGAATGAACTGTGGCACCAAAGTCTTACTGTGGGGCTTGTCATTCACAGTGCCTCTGATCTGTTCTGCTAGGCGTTCTCTTGGGTCAGTGGCTACATCTAGTCCTTTATTCCCCAGAACCTCGCACAGCTTCTGGAGCTTGGTATGCACTCTCTCCATTTTTGTGGAGCGGAGAGTGATTGAATGGGAGGGATAAATAAATGCCTGCCCTTTAGAGCCGAAGAAAGACTGGCCAGCTAAGAGCTCTCAGATCACTCCTCCTTCCTCCAGAGGAGTCATTTCAGCTGCCCTTCACCAGATGTTGCCTGATTGAGTTTTTGTGCTTGTTGAGCGGATGTAGAGCTGTGACCAATGGTGTCCGTCAGCCTGCTAAGAGATAATGGCAAACAATAAGTCCTGTGGTTTCTTTCAAGTGTACAACAATGGCTTCATTAGTCATGAACATTTGCAGTTTTACCCAAAGCAGCCTCAGAAGTTAATTTGTTTCTGTAGAACATTGGAGAGTTCACTCCATGCCAAGTTACTCCTCTAAGCACTCTGGACACATTCGCTTATTTCATCTTCCTCGTGTTTCTGTGATGTAGGGTCTAACGTTCCTCTGTACAGATGAGGCGGAGGTTTGTCCCAGCAGAGGGGTTTTGTAACTGGAGTATTGAGACTTGAACTCATTTGTGGAGTCTCAAACCTGAGCTGAGTTGGAAAGAACCCTAAGTGATGAATTCTGTGAAACACCATCCTGTGTTGCAAAGCCATCGAGGGAGTGGGACAGAGACTGTCCTTGGCCCAGGCATTCTGAGGTTCTGCAGGGCTTTATTCACTCATGGAATTTAGTCAACCAAGAGCAATGTTAGGGTCTGTAAACAAGTTAGGATGGCGCCTGGCATTTTGCAGAGGGAGTGGTTTGTGAAGTAAGGCCAGCGAGCCATTAAGTGTGGAGATTCCTTATTGGTTGACTGCTGTATCTAGTTTATGTTAATTAAGATAAGCTGTGTGGAATGTATATATACCCCTC